CATGATCGAATGCTCCCACTGAGAGCTTTTCACAATTGAAAGTGTGCAGATTCTTTTCGGTACATTCATTATTATATTTGTTTTAGAATTTGCAAGCTTTCTGGTTATCTGCTTTTTACTTTCTTCAACTTTCGTTTTTTGTTTTCTTGTGCTCGTTGAATCACGATCTTTCTTTTCCAAAAATCTGCGATCCTCTATGCCCTAGATTTTGTGTTCCTCGATATATGACTCTCCTAACGTTCCGACTTGAAAATTTCGCTTCTAAGTGGCTGAACCGAAATTTCATCTAACTCAATATACCCAGATGGGTCTTTAGGCCATATTTAGGTCGTCTAGAATTTGTATTTGTAAACCCCATGTACCTGTTCGGGCGCCGTTCTGTAAGGTAGTTTCGACGGCTGGGATATACTCAGTCACGACTCTTTACAAATTTATAAAGATCAGGGACAAAAAGGTTTTTGACGAAACGGTGGGCTGATGTGAGATGGAGAGTGTCAGCCACCGGGATACTGAGCAAAAAAAAGTAATTGATTCGGTATTTGCAGAAGAGCGAAAAGGGTCAGCGGTAACGCATATTGGGTCTGGCTCTTGACCGAGGAGACCGAGAGAGTGGATCGATTATGGGGACACCTTTTCCTAAGGCAAAATCTTAAGGCTAAAATCGAGGCATCGGATGTGCCTCCGTCAGCACTCGCTGCCGTTCTGCCGTATGCGGCCGGCTGAGCCTGGCCCTGAACAAGTATCGGATTTCGAAATACATATATTTATGCGCGACAAGCTTTGATATTTTTTATGTGTGCGTTGAAATAGCCGAGAAGTATTTATTTTAGCATTTTTATTTTTATGGCTGAACTTGACTTATTTCTCCCAGTGTAGACGGGTTCGAGTTTTCTAATGGGGCTAGAAGTGGAAGACAATATGTGGGATTTTTCCATAAAAATATTTCCCGAATTATATACGCAGAGAAAACATGGCGAAGGATTTAGGCTACAAACATAGTGCGCGCTGAGACGAAGCTGAAAATGAAGACGAAGCTGAAGACGAAAAACAGTGCAGAACAATTCATATGAATTCGCTCGCCCGAAAACATAGTGCGCGCTGAGACGAAGACGAAGATGAAGAGGAAACGCAAGCGATCAGCTTCAAACGGAGCAGTACTGTTTTTAAAGACGGATCGCTTGCTATTTTGAGTTGTTCTTCTTCTTTTTTTTTACATTTTAGGGGAAAAACTGGAATTTTTAGGGGAAAATTTCAACTTTTTGAGATAGGGGAGAGCCAAATTTTCATTTGGCAACACTGCAATTTACTTGTGACTTGCGATTTTCCTGAAGCACATGTTTTGTATAAATGTCTATAATAAATGATGAATTAATTGCAGCCGTTTTTAAAAAAACAATGTTTATGGGACCAGCAGAATAAACTATACTACAATAGGCATATTGTGGACCAGAATTGGAATGATATTTCAAAGGAATTGGATGTTGATGAGAAATCCATAGCGACTAACATCACAAAATCGCAACAAATTCGTCTTCCACTATGCAACCTATTAGCTTACTCGCATCGCAAGCAATTCGTCTTCAGCTTCGTCTTAATTTTCAGCTTCGTCTCAGCGTGCACTATGTTTGTAGCCTTATGTTCATATTCTTAGGAAATATTTTATTTAATTACTTTGCATTGTTTTGGTTTTCATTTGTATTTCAGGCGTTTCTTTCAGTGTTCATGGTTAAAAAGGTTAGGGTTACAAGTTACAATTTCGAGCCTACTCCTAGGTGAAACCGCATCGAGGCCTTTGAGATATTTCCCTGTGCACGTGATACGCTCGCTGGCCAAAATGCGGTTTCACTTCTTACACTCACCCGTCTCACCCTCATGCACACACACATGTGAATCCTTTGGGGGTGCACCGCCGCTGGTCCTGGGCCGGCACACTCTGCTTCTTGTCTCCTGGTTTCCTCCTGCGTCCCGCGCCAATCGACGGCTGGGGGTTTGGTGGCGCGATCTCCGTTGCTGGTCTGCGTCGCGTCTCGATGCCGCTGTTGGGCTGTGGCGCGTCTCCTCGCTTGGTATTCTTGGGCCAAAATAATCTTCGTGTTCGTCTGAGGTTTTTTCACTCCGGCACGTGGAGTGGCGAACGCCTTCTCCCACACGAAAATCGCACTTCTTTTCTAGTCGACCACGTCACAGAAAGTGAAGTTGTCACGCGCTTTGCTAAGTTTTCGCTGCTCCGTTTTTCGGCCTCTCGAAGTTTTTGTCCTTGCCTCCTCTCGCTATTTCTTTTGGGCGCGTGCCAATTTTCGGGAGTTGCTTGTATGCACGATCGTGTGCTATCTCGCTCGCTCCTACGCGGCGCAAGGTCACGTGACCACTTTTTGTGGTGAATATTTCGTCGCTCTTCTGGTGAGTGTGTGTGTGTGCGTAGCTGCTGGTGATGTGAGAACGGGCGGGTGATGAAACTCGAATGTATAGGTTAAATACAGACGGCTTATTCTATACCTATTTTTGGAGCTATCTTAAATAAACTTTACAAAAAATCTTTGACTACTCGCACTAGTATATAAGTCGGAGCCTTAATTATCTTCCATTCTTGAGCTCGGATTGTGAATTTAATTTGTATTCTGTTGCGCACAAATGTTGTTAAAAAACAATATTTTAGCACTTTTAAAATAAATAAATACACACTTAAAAATATATATTTTTTTAACTTCTAAAGAGTGATTAAGTAATAATAATGTCTTTCGCTTAAAAGTGTTTTTTTAGAACCCAAGGAACAAGAAGACGGCAGTGGACACCAAGTAGTGATGAAATTTTATGTACAACTAACCGGAGACCTTGTTATTCCAAATTTTACTTTATGGATGGTCGTTATTATTCAATTGAATTTCAACCGAGTTCTTCAGCAAGTGATGTTATGGAAATTATAAAAAAAAATATTGGACTACAAGATAACTCTAAGGGATATGCAATTTACGAAGTAATTGGAAATTCAGAAAGAAGTCTTTTATCGGAAGAAAATGTGTGCGATGTTATGGCTAAATGGGAGAAATATCAAGCAACTCCACAACAAGGATCTCTAAATCAGGTTAGACTCTTAGACATTTTATTTTATTAATTAATATTAATTGCCATGCGCTTCATCTAGTTGAAAAGACAAATATTTGTTACTACTTATTTGTATGTGGTTGGTAAATTAAAAAGTAAATACTGAAATAAGATATTGACAGGAAGTTTCTTGATTCTTTATCTTTATTAATTATTTCATACTTGTTTTCTTACCTTATGTTTAACACTTTTTACAGGTCTGTTCTTGTTTCTTTAACATATATTTCTTTTGCTGATCTGCTGCTCCCAGGCAAGCTTTACCTTCTCTGGGGCGGCTTTTTCCTGGAGCCGATCCTGGATGCGGAGGGCAGCATTCTACAGCGCCTTGGCCTTCATTCCCTCGCTTGACCGTTTTGGCCCGTCCCTGCGCTGGGAGCTGGTGCCTGGTTTCGGTGTGTGGAGAAGGCTTTCATCCTTCTATTTGGAGAGCTGCACGCTCTCAAGGTCCGAGTCTGTATCGACTATGGAACGTGAGCGGCTTAACTTCCCCTTCGTAATTTTTTCGGCAGTAGCGTTGCAACTGACATGACCTGCTCCCGTCACATCAGAGGTGTAACCGCTGGCGACACGCAGAGAGGATTGCTCCCCCGCGTGCCCGCCGGTGGTAGCGGTCACCCCTTCCACCGACGTTTGGGCTGACATCCCAGCCATGGTTTCATCATTTAAACTCTTCAGAATGGTTTATTTTTCAGGGGTACCGCCCACTTGCGTTCTATGCCGTCCGCCAGCCACCTCCAGCCATGGCTACGGTTCGGCTCTTTAGGGCAGAAGGAATTGAATCGTAGCCTTTGCTAGACACTGTACTATCGCGGACGGGGCAAGCAGCGATGCATTACCCGTGTTCCGGCTAATTCAGTGCCCATTGCCCAGTCGGCACCCTCGGGAAGGGGTTCAGATGGAGTATTTTTGGCAGCAAACACATTAAATAATGTGACAGGATGTTTTCTTTATAACTTCTTTATTCTTTAGTTTTTCTTTACACGGCACGTCTATACTTTTCGTTCGCTCGAATGACAGTGATCGTGCTGCACGAAGGCAGCTCACTTTTCAACCCAGAAACCCAGCAGCGGCGCTCTCTGAGAGAGAGAGAGAGAGAGTAACCTGCTCTCTCAGAGAGCGTAGCTCAGCGAATAGTGTGACCAGATCTTAATTATCGTAATTGGTCTGCTTAAAAATCGACCGTCCTGACCATAAGATAGCCCACTATCTCGGCTAATAAAATATGTTTTAGAATTAGTTAATAATATATATATTATCTATAATTTATTTTTTAACTCAGTTTTTATATTTTTCTATATTTATATCATTAATTTTCTCTTTTTTTTTAATTTAATTTTTTTATATTATCTATATGGATTTATTATCATCTTTCATCCAATGCCGAATTATATTAGTGCCCCAAACGCTTTGGTATGAATTTCGAGATAATTGAAAACCATCGATATATTTAGCAAAAGTCTATAATTTCTTAAGACTTTTTCGATAATGTACGGTCCTTTGCTTTTGGGTATTAACTTTCTACTAACTCCTGCGGTACTATTAAAACTCTTTACCATAACATAGTCACCTTCTCTATATTCAGAATTTAGCTTTCTTTTCAAATTGTAGTAGGTTTCGTTTCTTAACTAAGACTTTATTTGATTTTCTTCTGTTTCTTGTCTAACTTGTTCTAAATTTGGTCGATTTTCCTTAATTATTTCTTCTTCAATTTCTAAATTTTCTCTAATTTCTTCTTAGTTTCTAATTTCCTTCTTAGTTGTTTTACATTTTTCCCATTTTCCTCAATAACTTTTTAAGTGCTCTTAATAAACAGTAATCTGGTGCTCGCAGGCTAATAGGTACTGTAATGAGAGCGGACGAACGTAAGCTCAACCGGCAGGTCGCGGAGTTAGAAAATATGATACGGGGCGATCTTCTGGCAGTTCAATTGCTGACATGCTTTGAATAGCTTTAATTATAAAATGGTATATCTACATTTAACCTAGCTTTTGACTTTCATAGCGAACGGTCGTGTTTTTGTTTTTCGCTCCGATCTTTTGTGTTGTTTTGCATTTAAAACCACCGGGGTCCAGATTTATTTTGTTAAAATACAATTCGTAACTTTGCCGTTTCCCTACGCGAGTGCATGTGCATGTGGCTTTCAGTGTTTAATTAATATTTATATTTTTTATTAATCACTTGATTGTTTTGCGTTTTCTTGTCCCCTTTTGTGCTGTCCCGTTTTAGTTGCTTATAGCTGCACTCACGCGGTTCTAAGCTTTCGTCTGTTCTCCGCTCTCCCACGCCTACTCTCCCGCTCTCTTGTTTTTTTCGGCACCGCTTATCTGTGCACCGTGGTTGAAGGTTTGTGAAAATGGTGTCAAATTTTATCTGCGAAATTAAAGGCTGCCAAAAAGAGGTTTTGGCAGATCAGCCCAGCCTTTACTGCTGGCCTTGCGATGCGGTTGTTCACGCTAAGTGTCTAGACTTAACGGGCCGTATCGGAGACGCAATTTCTGCCAAAAATGGCTTGTGCTATTGTTGTCATACCTGTCGAGAGGTTAAGAAGGAAATGTTATCCTTTATGCGGCTAACCAGAAGTGGATTTAGTGAACTTAGGGTCAATTTTCGCAAAGCGAATGACCTGTTCACAGCGCTGGACGCTCAATTAAACGGGATGAAGCTGTTAAGTGAGTCACCAAAGCGCAAAAAATCTGCTTCTGGTCGGCTGCAACTGGGCTATCCCCAGCAACCAAAGATTTGGCACACTCCCTCGGCCCAGCCCCCGACACCAACTCCAATGGTGTTGAGATCGGGAACGGCTAAAGATTCGGCAATCGAATGTGCCGGGATAGTAATGGCAGCAGCTGCACAAGTTTTATCAGTTGAGTCCGCTGCCGTGTCTCAATCTCAGACCCCGCAGACTTCAAAAAAATCGCAGCTATCCCACAGGGCAAAAAAAGGCCGGACCACTGGCTTACCAAAGACCCTCACCGCTATTCCACCATTAAAAACAATATTTGTTTCTCGGCTTGCCCCTGACCTCGCATCGGAAGATGTACTAGCTCATATACTGAGCAAAAAACAAGCAAAAAATGTGAAAGTGGAAAAAATTATATTTTTCATACCCCAGAGACATCTAATAGTTTAAGATAAGTGTCTCCCTCGATCTTTTTGACTTCTGGCCCGAGGACGCTGTAGTCAAGGAGTACGAGGTAAAAATAAAGAAAAAACTACCTTCAAGGCCGGCACAAACCACAGCGACCGCTGGCGTAACGGCTGTGCCAAAAAACTAAATACCTCCCATCTACTTTCCTATCAGAATACTAGAGGCTTACGCAGCAAGCTCTCTAAATTGTATTCTGATAGTTTTTCGTTTGCATCCCAGGTGATTGTGTTTACCGAGACCTGGTAAAAGCTGGAGATTCTCAGCTCCGAAAATTTTCCGAGTAAGTACACAACTTATAGATTGGACCGTCTTTCCCAGCGAGGTGGGACCTGGTTCAAATTGACGATCTCACAGGTATTGAATTTATCTGTGTAAAACTACCATTTCCAGGTAGTTTTATCTATATAACCTGTTCTTACGTTCCTCCATCTGCTGCCTATTTATTGGAAACACCTTTCCTCCTTCGGCCCTTCTTGTGCGCGTAATTTAAAGCTCCGTGCTTGTTTTTAATTCCCTTTGGGGGTTTATTTTTTGGCTTCGCGCCTTTTGTCTCCTTGCCGTTTGTTTTTTTTTTTTTTTTTTATACCCTTGCAGGGTATTATAATTTCAGTCAGAAGTTTGCAACGCAGTGAAGGAGACCCTTCCGACCCTATAAAGTATATATCGACGCATTTTTGCGAAAGTATCGTATGTCGCTTTCTTTCGAAATTGAGATTTTAATGCAAAATTGTTAGGCACCTAATGTCTCACTACCCTGTGAAATATTATAACTGAAAACCCTATAGTTCCGATAAAAATTAAGTTTCAATTTTGTCTTTTCTATAGTGCTTCCTAAGAGATTAAAGCACAAAAAAGCTTCTCCTGTAAAATTGGATTTTTCGACATACGATACTTTCGCGAAAATGCGTCGATATATTATTGATCAGCACAGCTGAGTCGATCTAGCCATGTCCGTCTTTCCGTCCGTCCGTCTGTCTGTTTCTACGCAAACTAGTCCCTCAGTTTTAAAGCTATCTAAATGAAACTTTGCATATAGTCTTCTATATACTCTCTCTGCTATATATATCGGAACATGTCAGATCGGACCACTATATCATATAGCTGCCATACAAATGTTCGATAAATTTTTAGAAAACAAATTATAACTTGGCTTTCTTTCAATATTTTTGCATCATTTTTTAGATAGAGCCATTTTATATTATTCCAAAATTTTGGTAAAAATTTTATGAAAATCGGACGACTATAACATATAGCTGCCATATAAACGATCGGTAAATGTAGAGAAAATGTAAAGCTGGGAATGTAAAACTGTAACTGTCAAACTGTAAACATAAAGGGTATAGGTAAAATGTAATGAAACTTTGTTTTGTGTGTGTTTCCAGCATTTAAATTCATAATGTTATTAGTATTATTTATTTTAGTCTAAAATATATTTCCACCAGCCACGCCCTCACATGTGCTCGGACATGTGATCTTAGTCTGCTAGTACCCAAAACGATCCCGTAAGCGCAGTTTTTCTGCCAATTTTAGCAAATTTGTCTTTAATTTTTAAGTTAACATATTGCCATTTACTTGTTATTTAAAAAAAATTTGTTTCGTCACGCCAATTGACGCCATACAGGCCCAACAATGGAATGAATCCACCATGCTTTACAAAAGCTTTGAGGTGCTTGTTTTACAGGCAGGAATTCAGTCACCACAGGACAAATTTTAGTCCATTCAAAACTACATTGGTTAATTTTTACTTATATGCAAGTATAAAATCATTCCAAAAGAAAATTGAGTGAATTATAACCTTCTATGCATATTTTAGACGATCCTTGCTGTTATGTTTGCTTATAAATAGCTATTTTGATACCACTTGACCTCTTAATATGTGATCCTGCAACATAGGGCGCACCTAATTCACACTACATTTGTTACACATATCTTGCATCTAATTTGGGAACCGAAACACAGCTCACAGGAAAATTTATAAGTATTAGTCTATTTCGACACCAATCTGGCACCAAAATCCTAAAAAAACAAATGTTTTAATTATGTAATGGAATGCACTGGGGGTTAAGGAAACCGTATCGGTAAAAACATGATGATATTTGTCACTTTAAAGTGATTTTGGAGTAATTTCCTTTGGTCACTCTTGGTACATGGTGCTGTCGCAAAGAATTTCTTATATATCCTTAAATAGGTAGTGCCAGCATTTAAAACAAATAAAACACATACAGTGCCGCTCAACTGAATAGGTTTGACTTTTCTTTTAAGTTTGAAACGGTGTATCTCTGCAACAAGCCCTCCGATTTGATCGAAATACATTTATTTGTATAAAGAAATCTGTCTTTTGTGAAATAATAAAAATAGTGTCTTGTAGGTTTTGTTGTTATATTATTTTTATTATTTTCAAAAACAAAAATGGATGCATTTTTTTTGGCTCATCTGAATAGGTTTAACTACTGTGACGAAGTCACAAAACCCTATTTTGTAAATAATGTAAATATTAGTTAAGTTTATAGTTAAGTTTAGCAATTAGTAAGTTAGGATTAGCCATAACACACACACTCTCACACTCACACACACAACTGTACATTTAAGCGGGCATGAAGCCCAAAGTTAATTTGCCCAAGAAGGGCCAAATTAGATTTAGATTAAGACCGCAACGCACAGGCGTATACATTTTTCCAAGACGGACTGTAGCGACCGCGCTGAAGACATTTCCTCTCTCCGCTGCCGACGCGAACAGCGGCAGAGGCAGCGACATTTCCCCTCCGACGATCGTGCGTGTTTACGTTTTGGTCGTGTTTATTTACATGCCGGCCAAAACATAAACAACGCGATCAAAACGTAAACAAAAACAATAACAAAGCCGACGGCCGAAAGCTGCGCTGCCCGGACATTTTTGGCAGAGACGAGGCGACAAGGGCTTTGCAAGCTGCGACCGCGATCACTTCTCTGGCAGCTGCGAACGCGATCGAAATTAGTCCCCGCGACTCGAAACAATCAAAGCCAACGGCTAAGTTCAAAAGGACCCGCGAGTGTTAAATCATACCCGGCTGCCGGACACGTGTCCCAGCCCACCGATAACAGCGGGTGAGCCGGCCGAGCGCCATGTCAGGGTAGATTCTTGGAGTGTGGCGTAGGGCCAGGTTAGGGACGGCAGTCGTAGATTATAAAAATGTAGACATAATAATTAAGTAATAAAATAAAGCACCGAAACTGAAGTCAGAAAAACCTATCGCTTTCTCCCTCGCACCCGCATGAAACTCCGCGTTGTTAAAAGTCATTCCTTTCCGTGACGCGCGCCAAAGTGTTCCCCTCCCGCTCACTCACTCGCCGAGTTGGTGGCTGGGTTCTCCCGCACCAACTTCGCGTGGCCGCTGGGCAAGCTCCGGGCCAGAGCAGCGGGACGGGAGCGGGATTTGTCGCCGCTGGGTACTCCCGGGCACAGATCTGGCGTGGGCATCGGGGCTGCTGGGTTTTCCCGAGCTACGAGTTCATCGCCGCCGGCACGTGTTTTTCCCTTTCCCCTTCCTTTTCCCTTCCGATCTGCATTTTGCCCGCCATCGCCGCTGGGTCATCCCGGGCGGCGGAGATTTTGCCGATCGGAAGAGTCGCCGCTGCTGGGCAACCGGGCGAGCGCAGGAAACGGAGGAGCACCTGGCCACCGCCAGGGTGATCGCGCGTTCTAAGAATTCCCCTTTCCCTCTCCCTTTCCCCTTTCGATCTGCATTTTGCCCGCCATCGCCGCTGGGTCATCCCGGGCGGCGGAGATTTTGCCGATCGAAAGAGTCGCCGCTGCTGGGCAACCGAGCGGGCGCCGGA